TTTAAAGCTTTTGCCTCAAAGGCGCCTGTGAATCTTGTCAAAGGAGTACATAAACTAGATGCCCCAAACCACAGTCACGTAATAGTGAATTCACTCTATGGGAGAGTCTTTATAGTCTTGTGAACCTCCCTCTCTTCAAAATTACTATATATATACAAACAGACAAAGAATGCCGCACGCTGTGGAATTAAATGACGTTGCCTGTGAACTGGGAAAGTCACTCAAACAGGTTCGTCACGTCTGGGCAAAGCCCTACCGTATTGTCTAATCCCCCTATACTTGGCTCCAGAATCCAATTGTTGCCTCAAGAATAAGGTATAAGTAAGGCAGTAGTAGCATCGAGTCAACTTGGAGGTGAAGATCCGTTGACAGATAGGAATAGCGGGACTCTTGCATCTCAGTACTGCTCCCCAATCTCCTCAAGTTTATACTTCTTAGGAACAACGAAGAGAGCAGATGCTTGAACACAAAGCCTTCCAACCGGGTCGCGTACTTCTCCCGTCACGTAAGCTTTGCGATCTGTGGTTTGTACTCGGTCAATTGTCGAGTGGAAGGTATAGAAGTTGCCCGAATATACCGGAGCGCGGTATTTAATCTCAAGGTTTGCCGTAACTCCTGTACGCTCTGGGAAATTGCGGATTGCGACACGGCCTAGATTTTCATCAATGACAGTGGCAAGAGCTCCGCCGTGGACAACAGTTGGCCATCCTTCCAGGCCATTCCCGAGATAGACAACGCTAATGGCCTTCCGCTCTTTGTCGTTCCAGAAGACTTTCTGTATGATGAATCAGCTAAAAGTTTTGGCTAAGATTCGACTGATCCAATGCAAGTAGGAGAAGCTCTGTACGACAGTTACACTGCCCTAAACTCTCTTTATGGCGGCAGGTTCACAGCATGTTGCACAGTAGGAGCCTAGTGAAGAGACGAACCTGTAGCGCTAATCCCCGACTCCCTCTCAATGGACCAGATGTAAACCTCTGCTTCTTGTCCTCCTCGGAATAATTCCCATACACGTCCGCTTCCACGTAGTCCGGATTGTTTCGGAGCTCCTGCACAATAGGCAGCCCATTTTCGTATACTCGACGAATCTCCTCCAGTTTTAGGACATCCTCTGGCGTTGCGGGTTCTACCGGCGCAGAAACCTTATTGTCCATCCATTTCCCTGCCGCGACGCCGAGGCCACCAAAGATTCCGGCATAGATCAATCGTCGCGGCCACTTGGATCTTTCAGGTGCAGGTTGATGGGTTATAGTACTGTTGCTTCTTGAGATCTGGTGATCGAATCGCAATGACAGCTGAGACTGAGTTCCTAGGCTGCGTAACCGGGATTGTAGGGCTCTACGGGTGCCAAACATGGTGCTCACATCGCAGTTTTGCGGGTGGTCAAGAAAGTTGAATTAGCTAAGAACTAATGGGTATATATGCCGAGGCATCTAGCGCTAGATCACGTGATATATTATGAGAATACGATTCTTCATTGCTCTTGAGCAGCTGGCTCCTGATATTTTCTTTATTCTAACCGTTGAGTCTATCCAACTTAGCTCGCCTGAAGGCTTCCCTGGCTCAGAAAACTTCCCTTGGCAGCATCAAACGAACAGGATCAAGCTGGTGCCACGACAAGGATACAACACGAAGAAAAGCCAAGCTGTTTTCACCACTGATGCAGACGTCACTCGTGTTAAACATGTGCACATAATGTTATTATCATCATTCAACCTGTTATTTCATGAAACCAAGGCCGTTACTGCGAGTATCCTTACTCCGCAGTGGGCAGGTCAATCGCGCGGTACAGGAGGATCAATGCAGAATGAGACTCGCCTATAAAATTGTTAGCAAAAGACCTATGTTATTATGTTTCCATAGATGACATACCGCCACCAGAAAGAGTCTCAATCTTCTCCGCCTCCACTTCAGTCACTTTCTCATCGTTGAACCACCACCACTTTCCATCCTCTTCCTTGTTTCCATGGGCTTGTTTCTTGACATATGCAGTGTAGTGGCCACTGTCAGCGCTGGCACCTTGATGTGTGATTACTCCCCGTAGCTCATAAAGGCCTGACTTGTTGGTACCCTCGTCGGAGCGAAGCTTAGGGTCGATAAGTTCGGCAAGCTCCTTCTTTGCTGCAAGGATAGAAGCCGCCTTCTCAGCTTCGTATTCTGCATCGGACTTAAAGACGTCAGCCATTGCGGAATCATCATCCTTATCGGTAGCCTTTGATGCATCTTTCCGTTCTTCGGCGGCTTTCTTCTTCTGCATTGGCTCTAGAGACTCAGATTCCACTTCGGTAGATTTATCTTCATCCCGCTGATGGCCAAGCTTCTGACGCTTGCGAGCACGCTCAACATCAAGTTCTTCCTTTCGGATCTCCCGTACTTTGTCACGAATAGGGATAAGTTCCTTCTTGAGCTCATCTGTGCAGAAGTCTACCGCATCAAGCTCGGCAGGGAATGTAACTTTACGCATGATCTTGGCCTTCTTCTGGGTTTCGCGCTTCCAAAAGAAACGAACAAAGTGCACAGTCAAGTATTTGGGCAATCGAGCAATGCGTGAACGTTTTGTGTAAATGGCATCACGGTCTAGAGTAGGGGAATGCTTTTCAATCTTCTCTTCAAGACCGGCTTTTATGCCATCATGCAAATGGTTTGTTTCTTTACCGATGTGGCAATCAAGCTTGTAGAAGACGTCCGAGCTTGGCGTGGCTTGCTCGCCAGCCTCTTTCGCTCCCGGCTCATCACATTCCGTCACAGATTCAAACCTTCCAGCAAGGAATTTATCCACAAAAGATACTTCATTGCTAGATTCGCCCTCGCCCTCCTTGATTAGCAGCTTGTTCCGCAGTTGGGTTACGATTTGAGACCATGCCTCTTCAGCATCTTGCTGGGCATAACCATGACCGTTTCGATCTCTCTGAGCGAACTGAGGGAACACATTCCTCAAAGCATTCAGGAACATAAGAGGCGGAAATCCCTCCTGTGTTTCAGACATTTGCTTGAATAGATCCCGCAAAGAAGCAGTCAGGTCCATTGAGGCGCCGAGACCACCAAGACCAAAACTGCTGAGATCCGAGAGGTTCGATGATCCACCAGCACCTGCCGAAGGGCGATATCTCAGAAGCTCCTGTTGGAGCTCGGGAACACTTCTCAATGTCTGCAGCGTAGAGTTGAGGTAGCAAGTATTACCCAGGTTTTGAAGACCAGCTGGGGTAGCTCCCTCTGCTTTTGCAGCCTCAGCCTCCGTCATATCCTCCAGGAACTTCACTGCTTCTTTCGGGCGGCCCAAATCCCCGGAGCCTTGGCCTCCAGATGGCGTGCCCATCATCATGAATGTCTGGCCCGGTTTGGCGTTGAGCGAGGACAATGGAGTTTCATCCTTGAGTTGTCCTCCTTTGACCAGAATTTTCTGTCGTTCGGGTTCCACGCCAGTGAGGGAATATAATTGGTACTTAAGCGTTTCACCGTTCGAGGATAGATCAAGCTCGACCTCATGACGTTTGCCCTGGTGCTTCACGATAACTGTGATCTATGAATTAGAAATTTCCGAAATTATGAGAAAATTCATATAGAAAAGTAGAGTCAAATACCTGGTATGGATGCCATTTTGTCTTGATTTTTGAGAGAAACCTCAGAAAACCACTTCTTGACTTCTGCTTGATGAAAGTGACGCATAAACAAGAGCATCGTCACCCGTTACGCTTCGGGGAGGCGTGGGGCAGGGAGTGCAAACAAGGCAAACGCAACATCGCGGCCTTAGCGGGACCGCCGCCTGTGGCTCCTGAAGGTGGCACTTGACACCTACATCTATTCCTATGCTTGCTTCCTGGGCCTGGATATAGACATAAATCATTGAGCCTTCGAATTTGTGACCTGTGGGTCTTTGGTCTGATTCCACTTACGCAAAACAAGTTGTTGATGGGCTCACCAGCGGAGTAACAACGGAGACCCCAGTATACGTCACACTTCCAATATGGTGAGCTAGGTCAATCCGAAGCTAACAATTGATCGCTAACAACTGAAGTCTCAATCATTGCGTCCATATCTTCAATGCGTCCGAGCCTCTCTCACCTCCGCGCTTGCGGTTTCGAACTTCGCTTCCCAGACGTCCGAGAGACATAATGTACCAGAAATCGAGGCCCAGAGCTCTCCTGAACTCCTTCTTAACCCTCTTACCGTCTCTCGCAATGAAAATGAGAAAGTCCTCATCGAACCTAGTGTGAACAGTGTCCGTGTCAGCATTCGGATCAAACAAGCGGACGAGATCGAACACAGTATTACTCTCCAGTCGGATGCCTGCTTCTATCCGACATTGTTATAACGATCAGGTCATGCATAGTGCTAGATACTAACAATTATACAGTTTTGGTCCACAAGTTCACCCGGTTTTTGACGCAGCGAGCCGAATCTTTCTTCATCTTACGCCGGAAGCCAGTAAAGGTCAAGCCTCTTAGTGTGCTTACCACGTCCATGGATACAGTATGCTAATAAGTCAACAGGGTTACGATATCTCGTTTCTAATAACGAACCGAAACGTAGAGGAGATGCTTAAGCACAAGTTAGTCGACTTCATCATCCAATTTATGGAGGAAGTCGATAAAGAAATTTCCGAGATGAAGCTTTTCGTATGTGCCCTCTCATCCACGACATGCTCGCGTATAATAGTAGTATTGACAATACGCAGTTGAATGCCCGTGCGCGATTCGTCGCTGAGTCTTTCTTGACACCTGTAAGACCCCATCTAATGACCCCCCGGTACTCTGAAGACTATCAAATTAACCAATAACCCATAGTTTGACTGAATTCTTGCTCATAATGTTCATTTTATGGTTCGTGAGATATCCATGACCTCCACTTTTTATCCAATAGCGAGTATTGTACAGGCGATCTGGGCTGGTGATGGGGGCTACTCTGCTTCGCTCAATGATTCGTTCCCTTCCCTAGATCTTGAAGTCATTTGGAGTTTAAATGTATGGTGAGCTTTCTCACGACTTACTCTTGACAGTAGATTTCGGTATACGCAAAGTACAACCAGACTAGTAAGAAGCATTTGAAACCACTATGTTTTATATACCATGGCTGCTTAGCTTCTTGATAAAGTGTAAAAAAGGATGCATGATATAATCAATTGCGCCAAGGTGGTGCCTCGGTGTTCAGGGTCGTATAATTGATCATCTTTCACGAGACGAAGATAATACACAGTGTTGTCCTGTAGCAGTGCACGAAAGATTGTGACAATATAGATGCTATAACTAATGTGAGTGCATATTATAGCTTTCTGGTAGCACCTCAATGGGTAACAACTGTAGGACTTGAATATATCTACATTATTGGATTTTTACTAGTAGCTATTGTGCAATCAACAAGTACTTGGAAGATGATCGGCTGTTTCTTCGTAGAAGAGATGAGGGTAAGGTTAACCATTGTGGTACAGGCTGAATTAGAAGGCAGACATATGCTAATACGCCTCTATAGCTCAGTGGTAGAGCGCTTGACTTGTAGCTTGACGACATCAAGAGGTCCGTGGTTCAATCCCGCGTGGAGGCATCGTTTTTTGTCTTGCTTTTATCCCCAGGCCCCAGGCTGTTGCGGTTTTATTATCGTCTTAAACACGCTCCATTTTTGGTACAAGATATAATAAATAGATCTCAATCGGGCTCTCGATGAAGTATACGCTCCCAATTAATAGAACCAACCATATAAATGCTCTCATCTGAGGTCAACTCCATACAGTCTCTGCGTTGAGGCATATTGTATAGAGCTTGTTAAGGTTGGCAATCAATTCTACTTCGGCATTCTGTCGCTTATCGGTGAAGGTCGCTTATCTGGCCCGCACCTCTATCGGTTCAAGGACAACCTTTTCCATATTGAACCACGGTAATACCCATAACAGAGCTGAATGGGTTGTATGTAAAATAATATACCCTCCGGAGTAATTCTATTGAACCACACGGGCGCCTGTCCCGCCTACTATGGTGAATCTGGTAGGCGGTATGACACCCCTCGTGGGGGATTTTCCAAATCTCAATTGCATCCCACTGTAGGCGGTCAAGGGGCACCGTTCCTTATAAATTCGCCTTTATAGCTCAGTGGTAGAGCGCTTGACTTGTAGTTTGATGATATCAAGAGGTCCGTGGTTCAATCCCGCGTGGAGGCATTCTTTTTGCTTCTTTAACAATCGTACAAATTGGTACGCAGTCGAACCTCGGCTGAAGCAATAGTGGAGGCTGTATCACAGTGGAAGTACACACGACGACAACCGTTGATCGTAGAACCACTGTCAATAGTTAAGCTTTATCGAAATTTTGGCTCTACAACTTGTACTATTCCATTAACCTTAAAATTATACTGTGGCAATATGACTTATTGTAACTTTGAAAATGTATATATCCTGCATTGTATCGACACAAAAAGCGAATCTGACATGGTTCAAAACACTGTGCCAGCACTTTTGGCCATAGTTTCTTTAACCATGAAACTCCCTGCTAGGTAGGTCGTAAATAGTCGCCTCCCTCCGGAAATTCGCCTCTATAGCTCAGTGGTAGAGCGCTTGACTTGTAGCTTGATGATATCAAGAGGTCCGTGGTTCAATCCCGCGTGGAGGCACATAATTTTTATGTTCTGTCTTTATGAGCATACTCAAGATTTCGAGCTGTAAATTTCCATACTATCCTCCCGTATGGAATTATCTTAAAATCAGCGCCAGAGCTATTCCTCAAGAGGGTGGGGTGATCACTGATAACTTCGAATCATAACATACTGCTAGTACATACAAAGCTAGTCCGGTCGAGGACAGAGACAATAACGAAGGCCAAGAGGGCTTGTGCAGCGGTGTCGAGGCTCATATTATTTTATATCCTGGATTTATTGGGATTATGGGGTGTTGTTTGGAATAACCCCCTTAAACAACAAAATTCTATAGAACGGCGAGCCTCTCGAGTATAAACACGAGGTTTCTTGAGCATTGCTCAAAAGCATTCCTGTGTTCATCTTATCTCTTTACCATTCGATCGACGCTAAATCTAAGATAAAATTTATGCTTTGACTGGTACTGTCTTTCTTAGTCGCACCGCCTGTGAGCGACTAATAACAAAGAAAGAATAGGTTGGAAGTCTACAAAAGATTGCCCAGATAATCGGAAAATATAGAAAGATATATCTAAGATTGTTCTATTGGTAGCTCACCCGCTTCCAAGTAGAGGAGGTGGTGACGACCTTCGCATAGATGACCGATAGTGATGAACCTTTCATAAGACATAGCAGAAAAGCAAGAATAGGAAAAGTTGTATGCTATGGGCAAGGAGTCGGAGAGTTTTGGTGTCGTTGGGAACATCATATCGCGCGGCAAGCCTTGCCTACACAGTATAATAGGCTGAGGTGTCTCACTACTCTATAAATTGCTCACAAAAACACAAGTCCCTAGCAGTAATACCCGGTTGATACTTCGTGGTTGTCTAAATTCGGTGAGTGATTAGGTACTACTTGGGCTTTTGCCATACCACTTCTATTTCGGAAGGCACTTAGTTATAATAGTTTATCCCGTAAAAAGCGATCCATGAGAACCGAATCTTGGATCCTCATGACCTCAATTTTAGTGTATCGTAACCACTACACAATTCTACCTTTGTGGCTGACGGGGACTCGGCCATACGGCCGCCGTAGCGAAGTGATTCAGCACGCATAGTCATTGATAACTACTAGAAGGATGCCGGTGCAAAGGTTGACATGAATAAACTCGGTCCTGCTCATAAAAATAAAGGCCCCCAGCAACAACACCTCTAGGGCATCCATCGTTCATCTCCACCGAGAGTTGACACTTGCAGTCCAGATAGTGTCCTAATGCATCAATTAGCTCATAGCGTACGTCGAGAGAGTGTACAGATAATTACTCTCTCATTCATCTAGGTATATTTATCTATAAGTGTCAATGGCATCCCGGGATGCAGTGTTGCACCTTTGTCCGGCATTGCAATGGTACGTGTTGCCAAACGGATTGCCACGACCAGCGGTGTAAAACTCGCAACGGCCTGTCCCCGGCGGTGGCACTTCCACACTGTATAGTTTCTCGGTTTTGAAGTCGCTCAAAATGGTGCAGCCATCTCCACTTGTCTCGGTTTGTTGGTATTCGTCACCGCATCCGTGCCGTCTCACGATCGTGTTAGCAGCTTGGACTCCCTACATAATACCATGAGAGTAGGTATAGCGCTGAGAATTTGCATCTTGTCTATCGAAACAATGGTTTTCGGGTTCTGTAGTTCTGTGGCTCTGGCCTGTGGCCTGGAGTGGGATTAGGGAGGACGAAAGTGAGCCACTCTGGTGAGTGCAAAAACACATATGTATTGTAAATAGTTGCAACCTTATCCAATCATTATGGATCTTATATCTATAGTGCCGAAGTGCTTTGTTATCAATCAATATAGACTGTGCAAGCAGCCGCCTTCCTATCTTAGTCATATGGGTAGATACTAACTCAGTTCCCTTATACTCTGAGAGCGCAGTTTTGTAGACACGCTAGAATCATTTCTCTACCTTGCTACATGGATTTATCTAAGTTGAGGAGTATAGTAGTGTTCTCAAGAGGCACTCTAGTACAGTAGTAAAAGTCTCTCTTCACCCTAACTACAATTGTATAGCTTCATTGTTTGGTTGTTTGCTATATCAAGCCTTTACCATTGTATAGCTTGTTATCTATTTTACTTTCTGGTTCAAGCCTGTTTCTATAGCCTATATGTTTGTGAGAGTAGACATGTAATGTTTACATATATTACCTTCTTCTATGTTAACCCTGTTCTCTTTCTACTCCTCCTTTCCTGCTTGCTTTGGTTAGAACATACTAATAGTTTATATAGAACCAATGCATGGCCCATCTCATTTTCCATCACCCCTCATCACGACTAATGGACTAATCGATTAGTCGTCAATAACTGAGATAAAAATACAAATGAAACACAAGTGAATTCTGCATGTTGCCGTTCACTTCCAACCAAGGCTCTCGGCGCTGTCATAGTTGAGATCCCCACGCTTTTCACTCCTAACACAGATCATAATCATCTTTCTCATCACTTCATACCATCCTACTCTTATTCCAACTGCTTTCCTGATGGCTACCAGGCGCCCAGTTGACCCCTTCACGGGACACAACTCTCCTGGCCCACATCATGGTACATATCGAGGTCGTGTAGGCACCATAACGCAGCCTTGCCAGACACCAGAGCCGGGTCCTTCTGGAACGCCTAATCAACAGGAGCAGTTCCCGAGTCTAGGAGCTTATGCGCCCATCTTCCTTCTATGGGAGAAGCTGCACGTGGATATTATCCCTATGACCCTGCACAAACCCCAACTCCAACACCTCGGAACCCTCATCCTTTTAGCCAGCTACAAGCTGTGCATAGCCCACTCCCCGCTCCAGTGCCCCAGCATCCGCTCCATTATGGCCCTCCAGGGCTTCTCTCTCCTGCATTCTACCCCACTGAAGGCACCGTGGCTCCTCAGTCTATGAGAGCCGGAGCCCAGGGGCAAGCAGGGTACTTTGAGCAGATCCCAGACCTGAACAAACCGTTTAGCACAGTTGCTATGAGGGAGGAGATGCCTATTGGCAGTTTTGTGCATACTCGTCAGGCACCTCGCTGGGGCGTTATCAAGATATCAAATGTAAGTGAGCTTAGCTTCCTATGAAGGATGCTACTGATAAATGTGAAGATTCCTTATTCAGTTACCAAAAATGAGATCGCGCAGTTTGTAGGACGCCCAGCGCGCCTTATCAAAGGATGCCCGATCCATATTATCATGGAGCGCTCGACCGCGAAAACTATGGACTGTTTTGTTGAAACTGAAACTCAGGAAGCAGCCCAGAGAACAGTTGACCGAATCAACAGCATCTATGAGACTGGCCGAGCACCCCGTCTTGGTCTTCGCCGTGTGGACGTGGAGTACAGTAACCAAGATGCGCTCTTGAAAGATCTCTTTCCAAGGGCCAAATGCATCGCCTGGGAAGATGGTATGCCCAGGGAGCTTCCAAACACCGATCCGTACTCCACGGGCTTTTCTGGTTTTATTACTAGTGAAGAGATCGTGGGAGCTATTCGTCATGCTGAAATCCCTCACCGTGTAAGTGAGCTGCTCACGCCCATCTTCTGGAGAGGACTAACATTTTGAGCGCCCTCTAGTCGCCTTTCAGTGTTAAGTGCCCTCAGCGCACCTATGAGTCGACGATCAGTACGCTTTACAAGGTATTATATCATCACCCATTGACCAAACAAACGGAGAATGTGTATCTCACCTTGCATATAGTTTCCATGGTACGCCACAATGTTGTACACGGTCGATGATCGCAATCAACTGTTTGACCTGACGAAGCGGCACTTGATATCTCTTGCATCCCGTATTGACAGAACTCAAACCATGGGCCTGGACCAAAATCTGCTGCGAGATCTTCTCTATGCAGGATTTAATTGTCCGGCCTTCAACGAACGTCAGAAATATACTCTGTGTGTGAATTCTAACCTTGCACCAGAGATCGCTAGGTTTCCAGATATCAGCAAGTGGTTTCCGTTCGACACTTTAGTGCAGCTGCCCGACTTTAACAAGGATACAATCTTGGTAAGCCCTTTGTCCTTTTTCATTGGAGCCCACTCCCGACTATTTAACCTCCTTCCTTTCTCTTGACAAAGGACGCTTACGTGTCATTCTTCCAGTATTATGCGAACTTGATATCCAGGGGAACGATCCCCGATCATGGAATCCCACACCTGACGAACACTTTCCCGCAGGAAAGGAATGATCTTCGCTCTCCGTACGGTCGTGTGTGGTTTGAGTGGCCCTCGAATATCACCAAAAAAGTGCTCTGGGAAAAGGCCGTTCGCACTGAAATGCAAATACTAGGCAATCTTGTCCTTACTGGTTGGGTGACAAAGGATAACGAAGCCAAAGCTAGACTGGCAGCTGCGGGACCCTCGTCTTCAACCAGACATGACACTCGACGCACTCTCAGTGGTTCAGTTGCTGGCTCTGAAGAAAGCCTAGGTCTCCAAACATCCTCCAGACTTGAGATCTTCGCCACTCCATCGCGCCGTGTGACTGAGGCTGGTCCATCTCATCGTCCAGAGCGGGAAGAGGCGGATGAAACCCCTCGTCCATTCAATGACAGCGATCAAAGCCCTTGGACCCGGAGGCTTCTCATGTTCCCCCCAGGCACAGCAAGGGAAGGCTTTAATTTTGGCCATCGAAACACAAAGTCCTCTCCGGGTAATCTCACACCTTCTGGTGTTTAGATTTCGGGCTGCACGTTGAGATCCAGAGTTCAAATAACGCTATCTGGCCCATCTGTCATTCTATGACGATATTCCAACTACTTCCTTGGTTTTGTTTACGAATCAAATGGCTTTTGTTTTAAAGTCCACTGTTTTTTGCGTTCAGCTCCTACTCACTCAGTTTGGTGTTGGATTGTCCTTATCTCCAGATGTGCTGCACTCGATATCGTGTCATGGATCATCTGAAGAGATAGACACGTTTGAACTGATTAGCTCCGACTTGAATAGGATATCTGGACAGTTTTGGGCCTGCGCAGGAAGCACATCTTTCTTATGCTTTGTTTTTCCCTTTTTTTACTATGGTTTTGCTTGTACTTGTGTTCTTCCTTCCATTGTTCCCCTGGGTTTAAATCAGTTCTTGGTCATCTCCATGACATGAGACCTAAAACCTACACCATATGGGGTTCGATGTCGACAGCGTTCAAGATCTCTTTTTCTTTTTCTTAAGTTCTGTTGCGTTGCCATTTTCTCCATCGTTCGTCTAAAGTTTTATTGATTCATAATGTCCTTCGTGACAGAGAAATAATGCCAAGGAAGTCCGATGTGAATAAAAGCTATTAGTTGAATCTAGTGGTATTTCTGTGTCTATGATTCCATCTGGTCACGGTTCCTTAGTAGTTTCCAACGTATCTGGAACTTCGTTGTCTTTCGCCTGGTCCTGGAGAAGTTTCTTTCTCATCAGCCCCTCAGCTCTCATCCTCTCTCGTCGTGTCTGGGCATCCTCCCATCCCGGAGGTTTGGTCTTCTTGTTCGTCTTTGGCCCTCGATTCGCAGAGTATAAATCCAACAAACTCTCCCGGAATCTTGTTTTCCGTTCTGTATTGATTGCGAACCTTTCATTTGAGATTGCAACCAACATCTGCAAATACTCCTCTGTTACCAAGCTGCGGATGACTGGTTCGTCAGTTGCTGTCGCATCGTCGGCGTCGCTGTCTTCACAGTACCCGATCACTGACTCCAGGGACAAACCTGCAGAGCGCACAGCGACGATCGGACTAGGACCTTCCTCACCCTCCAAACAGCGCAAACTCTGCAGCCCGCTTTCGCGGAAACCAGAGCTCGAAGCGGCAGATAATACGGGGTGAGCATGTTGTAGCGTTGCTGTCATAATGTGAAGAATCTGTGGAAAGCGTTCTCAGTACTCGCGTGCAGCAAATTGGTGTTTTAGCTAGTCCATTTTCCAAATCCCAGCACCAGACCGGGTGGTATAACTCAGCAACAATAGAGGCTAAGCTTTGACCTTTAAGGGGAACAAAAGAACGAGACATATGCCCCAAGCATACAAAGAAACGCAAGCTTTGTTTAAAGGTAGACAATACCGTGGACAGAAGCACTTCCTTCGAAGAAACAAAGAACGCAGGATTGAACTAACGTACCAGAGGCTCGAAATGGAAGCGCACGAGACGCGGGGCTTTTCCTTGTTTGTTCAGCCCGGGGGGTTTGCCATCTCCAGGAACCATTCCAAACAACGCATGCAACGACTTCGCTTGAGGACCGCTTCTTTCAGGACTTTTGCTGCCACAAAGTGCCCCATAGCCTTGCAAAGGGTCGTGAGACACATAGAGCCATTTGCCAGCACCTTTACCCCCAGAGGCTACAAACTGTCTCCCTTGCTCCTCCTCCTGCGGCTTCGCTTGCTTCTTCCGTCCCTCTAGGAACACGCTGATACGCCCCGCGCAGCTACTAGTAGTAACCAAGCCTGGGTGAGCATTAATGTCATTGATGAGGTCCCGAATACCCTCATCGACAGACCCCTTGGGCGAGAGGTCTGTGTACTCTGCATCGGGAACGGAGAGTTCTGCAAGAATTTTACGCTTGCGAGATTCAAAAACCTCGGGTATCGCGCTTGCTTCGACTTCAATCATGGCTAGCTTGATTTAATTTAGTTTATTTCCCCCCTCATGTGGAGTCGTTGTTGAGCAAGGGATAGAAACAGGTTGGTTAAGGTGCGCTGCTGTCTGGAAAAAGAACGAGACTATCGGCTAATATCTTTGGGTGAAACAGGTGGGTCAAATGAATATTAGACAAAAACAAAATCGATAGAACCAGAAGAGTACCAGAAGATATACTCCGTACAGGACAACAAGTGAGTAACTTTGTTCTTAGCCCGACAAATCCTGAAATGGGTTCATTCCGAGAGTGACGACGTTTAACGACCGCACTAATTTTAGTAGTTGCGGGAGGCAAAGAATTGCCCGCTTTCCCACGCGAAAACCGCCCCAGAAGTTACCAACCTCCTGGTCGCATTCCCGGTTCCTTCTGAACCGTCTCAAAGTCTATCAGTCACTAATGACCCCATAGTTCGGTCAAGAAGTTTACAAGCTGCCGCGGGAGCTTATTAATTACTATACCTCCCAGATCTCCCCTATAAGTTGTTTCGCTCCACTCTTGCATAACTAATTGTGTCTACAAAGAACAGCTTCAATTTATGTTTTCTTCACAAACGGAGAAGAAGAACCCGAAAACCTTTCTCTTGCCATGCCTCGTCGATCGTCTCGGGCCGTTCCCGCGTCGGCGGCAGCACCAGCGCCAGTACAAAAAAGGCGCGCGTCTGACAGACTCCCCACTGCCTCCAAGACAGGACCAAAAAGACCAAAGTCCGACATCACCACTACCACCACTGGAAGGCCCGTCAGGTCCACCTCAAAGAAGAGCAAATATTTCCAGGAAGAACATTCAGATCATTTAGAGACTGATTCCGACAATGGCTCCCCGCTGGAGGATTCCCCCTCCAAGTACGACGACTCCGCATCGGAGGATGCGGAATCAGATGCATATACCACAGCCGATGAGGCGACAAAAAATCCAAAAAGAAACCCGGGAGACCACGAAAGAGCCTAGGAAGCAACAAGGGAGACACCGAAGGTACCAGAAAGAAATCGGACAGTGTTCTAGAAGGTGATACGAACGAAGCATTGAAAGATAAGCAGTTGTGGAAGGAAGGTGTCAGAACCGGCCTTGGACCTGGAAAAGAGGTCTTCATCAAGAAGCCCAAAGCAAGGGAGGCAGGTGCTGTGCCCTACCAAGAGGATACCTTGCATCCCAACACCTTCCTTTTTCTTGTGGACTTGGCAGAGAACAATGAGAGGCCTTGGCTCAAAGGTAATAATATACCATGAGGAAATCAGGGCTCTGAATCACAGCTGACTATGATCACCTTTGATAGCGCACGATGCGGACTACCGTGCTTCTAAGAAGGATTGGGAGAGCTTTGTTGAAAGTCTCACCGAGAAGATTTCAGAGATGGATAGCACGATTCCTGAGTTGCCTGTTAAGGACCTGGTGAGTGCTAGCAGTTAAATTGGCATAAACAGTTCCAAAAGAGATGGCTGCATTAACGAGTATTTGCGTTGGTCCAGGTATTCCGTATACATAGGGACATTCGGTTCAGCAAGAACCCTACTCCTTATAAAGTACGTTTGAACTTTGAGCATTTTCAACTTCTAGTGACCATCCCTTACGGGTACTGGATTGTATCGCCAGGCTAACAACCGGGGTTGGGCAGACACACTTTTCAGCTGCCTGGTAGGTAAAAGAACCAATACTAAAAGAAAAAACAGTCAATTAAACAGCCCCATAGGTCACGCACAGGCAAAAAGGGCCCTTACGCTGCTTATTATGTCCACTGTCAACCTAAGTCCTGCTTTGTCGGTGAGTAATACCAGAAGAATATTTCAAATGTTTCCATTTGTTCGAAAGGCTATGAGCCAATTGCCTCCAAATATGATGTTGCACGGTCTAGAGGGCCTTTACCTCAACTTCTGGGAGTCGCATATATGTCATGATTAGATCTGTCTCCACGTTGGGCACGGCTCATTGTGGGTCAAATGCTCTAAGCCTAGAGCAATGGGACGTTGCACGACATCTTCTATCCAACCGAATCATTGGCGGGGAAAGTATGTGCTAATGGCATGTCTCGGGTGGGCTTAGGTTCAGGTCTCTGGCATCCAGAGGCGGACAAACTTGCGCTTATGCGAGAGGATATCGACAGGAATTCGCATCGCTTGAAGGCGGTCTTAGGAGAGGAAGGAATGCGCCGCGAAATTTTCAATGGGGTACCTGATGAAGAGAAGGCTGTTGAGGCTTTTGTCAACCAGAATCAAGAAAGCGCGCTCAAGACCAAACCCAAGGTAGGCAACTCTTCGTTCCTCAAACATTGCTCCACAGCTCAAAGGGTCTTTTGACCTTATGGTTTTTATTCTCCCACCTATGCCGGTCTAATTGCATCAAATCGTTTCGTTGGTGAGATAGATGCGCCCGTTCTTGAGGTTCGAAGGCGAGTCGGTCGCGTCTCATCACTAAACATGGCGTTTGGTGCTCGTTAGTTTTCATCTCAAATGACACAGGTCTCCATCAGAAGTCCTGTCTCTGAACATAAATAGGGCTAAACACGCCAGCCTGACACATGGGTTAATGGTGGAGGTGCCCAGATACAACTTCTGCGAAGTGCTGGGGTCGCCATGGACGTGGGATCTCCATTATCGTCAACAAACTGCTAGTGTCTCCAGCATCATAAATTGAGGGAGAAAATCATATCGGCGGGACGATCTAGCTCTCAGTGGCCATTCTCTAAAGATTCGTTGCCTTGTGGGCGTCAACAGCCTTCCGTGATAGCAAGTCTAGAGACCAATGTTGATGGATGCAAGCGCAGCAAGCGCGAACGGGCGATCCCGACTGGTCTACCCGTCCGGGTCGCACCCTTTTCCAACGCAAGCCCCTGGGGCTTTGCCTTGGGTTCAACGTCATTACTATTCTTCGGCCTAGCACGGGAATTCCTCTGGCGTCCCACAACGTGTTTTGGTCTCGAAAACTTTTCTACACCGTCTCATCTGTTTCCATGGTTCACCATCAGCTTTAACCCGGCGGGTCACCGATGTCGTCCAATTACAATGCTAACAAAATATTTTCCTTACCCAGGGCTACGGCTTGGACAATGAAAACATTCGACTGCTCCGCTTGCGCAGTTTCACCATCGGCAGGCCTCTAGCCGACGAAGAGCTTATGAGTCCCAACGCACAGGACAAAATTGCGGCCCTTATTGGTATCATGGAACCTTTCGTAAGCCAATCCATCCCAACGCCCTTGTCGTATAGCCGTCGTTTGGCTTTCCCTCTTTGCTTGCCCGCATCTGCATCCATTGGATCCTAGCACCGGTATCAAATACGGGCCTTTTCGCCCCGTTCCCCTCTTCGCCTCTCCAGCCACTTCAGCGGTGTAGCCTCGGGCACAATGATACCCACCATTTAGCCAGTTGTGCTGGAGATAGCAGGGGTCACTTGGAGAGTCTTCTTATGTGATATTTTTACTGACAGGAGATGTCATCACTTGATAGGTTACGTACCTCAACAGCGTCGTCATGCCCGATCCGGAGGATATGGATGCCAGTTCTGGGTCGGAAAGTACAGACTAAGTCGGGCATCCTCTTGGGATGAATGATAGCATGGTGTCTGCCACAATGTAGGTGTATGTTTGAAGACTGTGTGGGGTATTTTTCTTAGTTGTCTCTCGATGCCT